ACATATTATTAACTTAAGCGACAAACGCGCCAAAAGCGAAATAGTGTTAAGCACTGAATCGACGCCAATTGTTGCTGCGCTGACAGTGTAGAAACCTACATATATTATCGTTATATTGATGAATAGAATTGATTTATGAAACGGATTATAGAAGCTGAGAAAAAAGTTAGTGATTAATATTGCAAGCATAGGTCATAGTCTATGTGACAAATGCATCCCCAACAGCCCACACAGTATTACCTGCATGAATTCATTCGTTGAATCAGCATCCGCACACCGCCAGGCACGGTGTCACAAATGCGACATAATGTTTTACATGCCGCCGCTTCACGTCTTCAATGTCTTGCTGCACTTGCGAGGCGATACGTCTGGAGCTTTAAGTCAGCGATTGGATGGATCGAGCTGTTTTAAAGCGCAATTGTACTAGTGATGACTTTGCTGTTAGTTTAATATATGTATCATAGCTGACACTTCCGACCAATCATCGAGTAGTATCACCAGCGGACATTGACATTGTATGCCATAGAACTTGATTGATTGAAAATTAAAATTTATTACAATATATTCTTTAAGTATGAAATATTTATTAAATTTTATCAGAATATTTATATTATTTTTATTTATATAATCAGATATTAAGTTAGCCATGATGTTTAACACTCAACAAGAAATATCAGAGACTCTATACATAGCAAACAAATGATCAGAACTGAGTCATCAACGCATGTCCGTCTGTCCATGCATCTTAGTCCTTAGTTTTAAGATATCGATCACCAACAAACCTTCTTATCACTTTGAACGGCCGATGTCGAATCACCATAGCAGTAACCATACAAACTGAATGATCGAATCAAATGCTTATCATTTGACAGATATCTTCATGAAATTTGAAATAAGGCAGCCATCGAATAGCATCACCGAAATTTGGGTATCAGTATTGTTAGAATCGTTCTAACCTCCGAAGAGAATTGTTCAGATCGGATCAGGTGTTGTTAAAGCTTTAGGAATATATTTTTACTTTATTAGTGATAATAAGTATTTCACTTACATATTTCTTCTAGATGTAAAATCTATTTTTATTCCACACGTACATAGTATACAATAATATTATATATATAGATTTAAAAATTATTATATAATTACTTATTTTATTATGAATAATTATTTATTACTTCAATATTTTTCTAAAATATTTTTAATCATATTTTTATTTTGCTTCTGTTATTAGTAAAAATTTATATCTAATTTAATTAGAATATGGTTTTGCAATTTCAGCAAGACTGTGCTCAGAACTTAAAAGTTTTTCAATTAGCATTTGTAAACAATTTAAAGTTATATAATGTAAGTACTTGTTTGCTTACTATTAACATCATATTTTTAATTTTATCGAAATACTAAATATGATTTATTAACAAACTTATTTATAATTACTTTTAACGCGATGTACTGTCAAAAGCATAGTGAAGTAGGAATGATGACACCTTTACAAAAACGTGTCCAAATTTTCTAAATCGTTGCTACAGTATGTGATCATGAAATAATTTTGACGCTTGACTCTTTTCCAATCTTGCAGTGTTGTTGAATCAAACTCTTACGGACAATGAGGGTTAACCGCGTCAGCTTTATAACTTCAATATTTACAGATCTCACTCATAATTTTTCGCCACTTTCTATTATGCTCTTTGCAGTCAATGTCGCTTTTAAATATATTATTGCATGAGACGCAAAAACATTCAGAACCTCAAAAGTGTGTGAACGGTAGCTAATTCCAGTATGAGTACATATTCCGTACAACAATTACATATTTACATATATATCTGTTGCGTGCATCATAACGCCTTCTCAGTCCACGTACCGAAACTTTAATTTACCAGATTAGAATTTAGACTTGTAACTGTCGGTTCATGCCACTTTTTCCACACTACTACACAACGAAGTGTTGTTTATGAGACGCTGAATGTCAGTGTGGATTTAGTATCACACCACCGAATATTTTCATATTCGCTTATTTACTTTGACATTATGTGCCAGCCCTTAAATTGTTTTGCAACTGCGGATGACGGCGGCGACCGCCCAAATGGCCAACTAACTGTTAGCAAATTGATTCGCGTCTGTACAACAATAATTCGCCTTATTGCCAATGGTCATTGACCTCTTTTTCATGAAATGCATAACAGTTACGACTCGGCGCTTTGTCTTTCATTTCGCGGCCTTCAGTATTCAACTTTAATTACTTATTTATAAAAGTAGATATTTTCATACGATGCGAAATTACATGTATGTCATGTACGCTGTCGTGCTTAGGCGGCGATTGATTTGTTGGGATACAACTTATTGAATACTGAACACCGAGATATAATGAAAGTTTAATTCAATGTGTTTGCTTACCGTAACAAGGAGAAAATGATAAGTCGACTTCACGAGATTACTGAAGTTTATGAATGATAGATTAAATTAATATGTATTTGTGTGTGCATAAGTTAATAAGTCTTCAACGATCAATAAATTAAAAGCCATGGTATTTCGGTAGTCGAACCTGTCGAATAATTGGCTTGTAATGTCAGAAAAGAGAAAGCTAGTTAATCATATTGAATTAGCTATGGAAATTATTTTGGAAATTTGAAAACAACTTTAAAATTTTAACACAAAGACATGATGAATAAAGTCGTATCAGCATTTTTCGCTACAGCCCTTGTGTTGGGATCTACGCAGGTAAAACCTACAAACACTTGGAAATCGGTCTCTCATTTTACACTAGTTGATAAGCTTTCATGTTCCTATGTTCTCGAGTTTGCCTGTAATACATCTTGATCGCTGGCTCTCTACATTGCTTTACATGTAAATGCTATGCTTTCTAATTTTCTTCGGCACCTTCTGTTCATCTGGCATTAATGACCAGCCATCTTAGGTGCTATCTTTACCGTAGCAGTCACCTATACCGATCTTCATGTTCGTCACAGCGGCCCAACGCACTGCATTATTTTGCGTTCATAAGTGTGCCTTTCTTTCGAAGACTGTGTCATTGTGTCCTTTTCGAGTAACGTCTATGATTTGATCCGTAACACAAACTGCGTGCGATAAATGTTTGAAGTGTCGCTACATTGCGATTGAGTTTGGTTTGAACATGCGTCAATACGCAGTGAGACCTGATTGCCAGCTTTAATCTCTATTGATACCTGCTTGCCAAATTATCTACGCCGCACGGTGTGCGAGTAAAGAATCTTTACGATTTAAATGCGGTTAGCCTAATTCCTTGCGCGCTTTGTTTTCTGGACACCAACATATATTTCCATTTACTTCAATTGAATTAGCATGCCGATCAATATCAAGAAAAGGTTTGGACAGGACTATCGGTAGTTTACTGACATGCGCTATGATTTCATCGGCATATATAATTGCGTAGCTTCTATAAAATCCAGCTCTTTTGCGGCACTTATTTCATCACTGCACAGCAGCATTATATTGAATCATTGTGATGTGTAAGCGATATCCTTGTCTATCCAGACCTAATTCTGAAGTGATTCGGGATCTACTGTCTTGTATCATACTTTGCTCGGTTGCGTAAAGTCATTCTTAAGGTCTCTGGTAGTTCTGTATTCAAAATGTTACGCGAATCGCATCCTAATGCTGTTTCGTAAATCAAACAAGATATGAAATCATATTGGTGTCTATGGACATTCTCAGCATATACTGTTTGAGGAAAATTGATTCACTGTTGACCTTCAGGCCTAATCTGCAAAATCGTTTACTACCAATTTTCTATAATTTGCGGATTGCTGTTCATTATAATCCTATACATATGGTTTCTCAACTCTTTCCTTAATGATTCTCTTTTTCATACCGCTTCTGGTCGCCTATACTTTCTTTAATATGGTTCTGTGTCTTTCAAAATCTTACTCTCGCCTTAGAGCATTTCCTGAGTCTAGGGATAAGTCCACACACATTAGTCGACGTTTAAAATCTTATAAATCTACCATACTTTCAGTCGGGAAATGCTTGACATAATATTCTAGTGAAAATCTAAGTACAGCAGTTGTAGTTCTTTTCTAATCTATTCTGGTTCGCTTTTACAGTTTCAGATCTTACTCTAAATCTGATAGAAAAATTTCGAACTAAACGAACGAACCATTCCGCGCGTCATATTTCAGATTCTTGTTCCATTCACACATTTTACTTATCTGATGATTTAACCTAGGATTAATTGTTCGAATTAATAGTACCATTGTATCGATATCTGATATTAATTTTATTTAGAATATGTTTTTGATTATCACGAACCGACTGACTGTTAATATTCGCTGATGAGTGATGTCTACGCATTTGTCTGAATGAACCATTCCTCTTTTGTTTTCAGTTTCACTGCGGCATATGGCTGCAATCAGATCGAGTTTTTAAAGTTTCATGCTTTAATGATGTTTTGGTACCATTGCTGTCTTAAATCCGTACCTGGCAGCTGTTTATTTTCGGAGGAGCACCACGCAACTGAATCCAGCGGTCACCACGGCAAGTGACTCAAACCCAACCAATGTTACACATTTCCAGCAAGCTATTTTTAGTTGAACCAGAAAATATGCCAAGCTAAACGATGACAACATGCATAAACGATTGCTGGTTACACTGACTACAACAACAGCAACAACAACAATATGAGCAAAAACATGGAAAAGCGAGAAAGGAAAACTCCAAAGTAATGTTAATTATAGACAGCAATGCCAATGGCTACCCACCACACATGCAAATGTGGGCGCGGCAGTGGGCTGCAGCCCGCACATATGCACACATATACACATACCATATACAGCTGATTTGTATTTATATGTGTTTGTATCAATTCGTCCAACAAAGCAACTGACCCTAATTAGAAATGCGTTGGACCGTTACAAAGAAATGTGAGAAGGAACACGAAATTGCCGCAAGCGCACAAGCAGCAGAGTGTATATTAATAAAATAAAATCGGTCTTAATTGATAGTTTAGTTGGTGTACTGCTAATATTACTCACCTGTGTGTAAATTTTTTTATTAAAGCGCGATTTTGTTAATTAAAATGTCCAATAGTAATATTTGTTGCGGCCTGCAATGGCGGCACTGAGTTATAGTTGTTGTTGTTGTAACGAAATTATATTGTTATTCACTTTCTATAAACACGTAGTCACCTAAAAAAACTATGTTTAGTTGAAATTTAATTTTATATCCTTTTTGGCTTAAAAAAATTTTTTTTTTCATTTCAAATATATTAAAATTTTAAAATTTATAATAACAAAATTTATTAAGAAAATTAAAATTTTAAAAAATTTAGGTATTAGAAAAAATTAAATTAAAAAAATTTTAGATTAAAAAACTATTACAATTTTAAAACAGTTTAAACAGAAAAAATGATATGAACTGAAAAAAATTAAAATCTAAAAAAATTGAAAAAATAAATTTATAAAAAAAATTTATATATTTGTGTTTTTGTTTTTAACAACTCTAGTCTCTATAAGCCAAGTTGTAATTCACTTTCTACAAATAATAGCTACCTATAAGTTATATAATATTAAGTTTAGTATTTAGTTAAATTTTATGTTCTTTTCGATAAAAAAATTATTAAATATTAGAAAAACTAAATAAAATTAAAAAAGTGTAAAATTTAAAAAATTTTAAATTTGAAACAACATCAAATGTAAGGAAAAATTTTTAGATTACAACAAATTTAATTAAATAAATTTATTTTGTTAAAAATTTTGTTTTTGTTTCTCAGCAATTCTAGTCACTATATTCAATTATGCAAATTTTCGATATGCGCGTCCGCATACATTTGAAAACGCGCACTAACACACACACACACACAATTAAGAGTCGTTATATGTAACCGCTGGCGTATATTCATTAGCGCATAACCGAGCGGAACGTTCAATAACCGTTTTTCATCGTTATATTTAAATTCAATTAACTTCAGTCGCTTCTACTTCTACTTGCTTTTCTTCTTTTTCTGCTTATTATTATTACGCTTTTCTTCAAGTTCTTCTGCTTGTCTTTATTATTATGCACTAGTCTATTTTGCGTTTTATTTATCACATTGCCTCATCGATATTTTCAATTCCTGCTTCATATAGCCGCCTTTCGGTTGCATGCAACACACGTGTCCGTCCGGCGATAAACGCGTTTCTTTTCTGACGTATTCACTGATTTTCGAAAGCTAGCACACATATAAACAAACAAATGTCGATGTGTATGTGCGTATGCATATGAATATACCTTCCGTCTTCCGTTATAGAGTTATAGTTAGCTCGCACTGCACACGCTTATTACACGCAATCGCTTAACACGAATAACTCACGACAAGCGTCTAAAGCTTCTATCTACGACCGTCTCGTCTGCTGGTCTCGCACCGAATGAAACTTGCGACGCGACAAAAGAAATTTTTATGAATATAAGCAAATAAAAATAAAGAAAGCACTCAACAACAACTGCGGAGCGGCACTTCCGCGCTTCCTAGCCTGGCGTAATGAGCGCGCCGGAGCGTTGATTTCCAGCGGCGGCAGTCGAGTAATAAGCAAAAAGCTGCGTGGTACAAGCGCCAGTCTATTGCTGTTGTGACTACTGTTAGCATTGCCTGTCTCAGCGCCATACCTGAATATGTGTGTGTGTATTGTAAATGTGTGGCGCTTTGACTTTCTTGGCTTTGATGAGTCGCAGCTGCTCGGCGTACCAACGCAAGTTGTTTGGAGAGTTGGTGAAAACCTTGAAGTGTCTGGGAGTGTGAAATTTGTGAGAGCTTTTGTTGCGAGTATTTTTCTTTCACTGAAAAGTGGGTCTGTTAAATATTAACAGCGCCTAAGAATAGAGCTCTGTTAGCTTTATTGATCGCGATTTATGACTCTGAATGCATTTTGCGGAGTAATTGATAACTTGTATCTAATGATTATGGATCGTCGGTATACAACACGCTTCCTTGAAAAACGAGTATATACGAGTTCGTGTTTATGTATGCAATTGCGAACAATAATAATATATATTTAGTAGTGTTAAGTTGTAAATTAAAGGTTGACAAGTTATTTATTTATATGTATATTCCATCCGAAACACTAAAAAATTTAGTATTCAAGGTTTGGGGACTAAATTCGTAAAAATTGGTTTGGAATTGAACGCTAAGGCGATAGGGGATATTACCACATTGCCTACCATTAACTTGTTGCCATAATTAAGTTTATTTTTTTAAGAAAATTCCGCTTGGTAACACATAAGTGGACTCGAATCCATTATTGTATCAACTCTTCTACTAAAAACCACCAATTTTATCGAATTCGGGCCGCTGACACTATTGAAAATGCAATTTTTTGAAAATGAAATGTTCTCTATTAAATGACCAACCACCCCAAAAATTACCGAAATTTTGTGTAAAATTCAACTTTTTTTTTATATTTTCCGTTTACGTAGAAAGCCAGAATCACTGCAGCAGTGGAGTACCTTTTTTTAGTGCAAACGAAGATCGCGTGTAACTCGAAAAATATTTAATTTTTTTCTACAAAAAATGTTCAGTGTATTTCTAAAATATGTACAAATGTAGCAGTATAAAATGTAGCATTTTAAAAGAATGGAAATAGCAGTTTTATTTTAATCGAAAATCGTAGGTGCATAATTCAAAATTTTCTAATTTGGCAGTTTAATAGAACAAGAATCCTCACATTGTTAAAGATACACTTAAACAAACAGGTTATAGGTTTTTATTAAAAGCTTTCTGAGTCGAAAATTCAGGTAATAGTGATCTCTGTTGAATTTTTGTCTTTTAAAGTATTAGATTTCATCGAGGCGTTCAAAATAAACGATCGTTTATATTGGCTTCCTCACCTGTAACGAGTATTTTTTTATCGAGCAACTTTTTGAGTCTGCGTTGCTGGTCAAATCTAGCAAACACAGTGGATGAAGATATAGTGGATTGCTTTGCATCCACGATGCCTTGTGCTATCAGAAAATAATGCACGAAATTGCCTGATTTCCATTATAAGCAAAAATAGCATAGACTTCACTAGTCACTTTGAGAGCAAGAATTGAAAAACAATGAAGAAGAAATGTCATGAAACTTGGGCAGTACTCTATTAAAAGTTTATAATCTATGACTTATGTCTGTAGAGCGATATCGCAGTCAGACCAAAAAATTTTCAGCCGTATGTAAAAAAAAACTGTTTTTCCTTTTTAATGCAATTTTTTTTAAATTATATTTGTAAGTGAAATACTCAATATGCCATTATTTTTTAACAAATACATATTATAAAAGTGAAAGTTAATTTTTTCAAAGAAGAATGAAAGAAATAAATGAAAAAATTTATGAAATTTATTGAATAAAAACTATAAACTTCATTAAAAATTGTTTATGATTTTGAGACAATATTTAGTAAAGTATTGTAAAAATTGTAAAATTTTCGTTTAGGATTTAATGTTAAACTTTGACCTTGAATAACTTTGGAACGGGTTAACTAGGCAAAAAATCATGTCAGATCTTTTTTGTAGATCGTTGAATCGTTGAATAATTTTATTTTAATAATACAATAACTTCTTCAAATACATTAAACAACCCAGCAAATACAAAATAAATATTCTTGTGTTATTTACATGGGAAATCAAAAGTCACAATGCGCTACTTGTTAATATCAATATTAAGAGCTCAAACTTTACCAGAATTTTTTCCTCCGATATTTTAACGGTATCTAATGAAAAAAATTAAAAGCATTATTTTGGCCCACCCTAATATATATACATATACATATAAATGTAGGTGTGTATATTTTCGCGTGTAAAATTGTTCAACTTGTCAGTTGAAATCTAGGTAGCTGCCCAAAAATTGCAATCACCCACTTTCTGCTGACCATATTTGCAGAACGAAATTAAAAAACTTAAAAATTGAAATTCTTAGACTATTTAGTGAGAGTGTGTATAAAAATATTTGATCTGAATAAGTGTGTATATTCATGTATATACTAATAATATATAAAAGCAGTTCAGAGCATAGTTGTTTTTGCAATTTTCACGCCACCGTTCAAGCGTGACAATCAAAAGCGACTGAGCGCCAATTAATCTGCTTAAAGAGTTAACATTTTTTAATGAGTCGAATTTACTTCTGGTTGGTACTGCCTGATGAAACCAGCTTTGGAGAGCAGTGCGTATTACGCGTTAATTAAAAGTGCATTTTAAATCATTAAATTGTAAATAAATTGGGTATTTTATAAGTGGATGTATATGTGTATGCATATATAATATAATATATATTTTTATATTTATTTGTACATGTGTACCTATATTAGTTTATAAGTGCCAATAATTTTAATTTACTGATTACTTAAATTTTGTTTGCAAAAATTATTACGAAAATATTTTGTTTGCTTTCCCTCACGGTGATATCAAACCTCATTTGGTGCAATGGGTTTTGAAGTATTTTTTATTGACTGGCCAACTACCGTTTTTCAAATTTTTATGATTCATTTACCTTGCCAACTATTTAATGAACGCATTTCCCATTACGTAACACGCGTAAATAATTTTGTTTTTGCTTATATATTTTCTTAAATTTCGTAAGTAAATGTAAACTATCGCTGTCACTTAAGTAGGTTGATGGTCTTATTTTTACAATCGTACAATAAAAAGTTTCTAAGCACCAGGGCGCCAATATGAAAAAATGCAAGAGGGGTGTTAGGGTCACCAGCCTCTTCGGCTGTCGGTGGTAGTAAAATTTTCTAAAGGGCAGAGAAAGCAAGAAAATAGGTGGATCTACTATGTACGAGTACATAGCTACTATCTTTGTGCGTCTTTTTCGTTATATGTCATTAATTTGAAGCGCAAACAACAAAACTAATTTTCTACTCAAATATGTTGAGCTTTGTTTGTGAAAAAGTGTTTTTTGCATAGAGTTCTTCTTCTTTGCTTTAATATGGAAAGAATCTTAGCCGAAAGTTATCGAATTTTGGTGGAAGTTTATGGTGAACATGCTCTAGCTGAGTTAACGTGCCAAAAGAGGTTCGCACGATTTAAAAAAGATGATTTTGGTTTGGGAGACAAATAACTTTCTGGGCAGCCAAAAAAAGAAGATTGTTGCCAAACACAAGAAGAGATCGCAGAATCATACATACTAGTAATGGTTTGTCACTCAAGCTGCCATTTCAAAACGTTTAAAATCAATTTGATACGTTCAAAGCAGGGTAATGGGTTGCCATATGAATTGAAGCCAAGAGACATTGAATGACGATTTCACAAGTCGAAAATTCTGCTTGAACCATACAAAAAGAAGTAGTTTTTTGGTTGGCGATGCATACTGAATCCATTACGTTATTCCTAACGTAGAAATCATTTGTAAAACCAATCCGCTAATCAGCCAAACCAATGGGTGAGATCAGATGTGCGTGCTAGTTCTAAAATCAGCTGAAACCATTAACCACGAACTCTACCGACAACTACTTATCAAATTGCAACATGGGAACAAGAGAAAAATGTCCGACACGAATCAATAATTTTCCATCATGACAACGCCCGCCTCTTGTAACATGAGGCCGGTTAAAAACTATTTGGAATACGGCGGCTGGGAAATTTTGCCCCACTCGCCATATAGCCTAGACCTTGTCCCTTCTGACTATTATTTATTCCGGTCGATGCAAAACGCTTTCACTGGAATACTATCATATTAGAACAGGGTATCAAAAAATGGTTTGATTAATTTTTGGCCGCAAAGCCAGCTCAGTTCTTTTGGGATACAATCCACGAATTGCCAGAAAGATGGGAAAATGTTGTAGGTTTAGTTGTAGCATTCGTTGAATAATAGTATTGTACATGTTTAAGTTTTTTAAATAATTCGCATGAATATATGCATGTATGTAGTTATAGTCCCCTATGTTTTTATTGCTTGTAAGACCCTCTTTAATTAATGACACACAATGCAAACTCATAATACGGTAGATTTTCGTCCATTATTTTATGTTAATAAAACAGACGGACATTTAACAAGTAAAATACAGTTGCCACGTAACGGGTTAATGTAACTGGAACAGACCTAGATTTATATTAAACCAAGACTAAGTTATTCATGTTTCCTGCTGCTACAACAATAAAAATAAAGTTTCGTTTCCCGTCACCTCATGTTTATACAGATATAACACTTCCAGACCAAATGATCTAAAATAACAGTCTTTCTACAGCTCTTCACTATGCATTTGTATAATATTTAAACTGTAGGAAGTAAGATAAGATCACGCGGGAGGTACTATAATAGTACTAGAGTAATAATGACACCATTTTGAAAACTTCGGATCACATACACTGAGAACACTTTTGACTGCCAATATTTTCCGAATAATTAAATGATTAAAGAGGGATTTTAAGACACTACTACTGTTATAGGTTCTGGCTTTAAACCTTTTATCACAAATACTGAAACCCCCTAAATATATATGCACGCGCCAGTGCTCACACAACTGCGCACCATACATACAAACCGATAATTTTTTCGAATGCGCTAATAATTAAATAATATTTATTGTGCTACATTTTGGCACAATAATCAATGCTTCATCACACACCTTGTGACAGTGACATGCTTTGCAATAGCGTCGCCTACAAACCGCAAATGTACTCCTGCGCAATTCGAATGTGAGCAAATTGAAATGTTACTGTTAGTTTGAAAATGAAAAGGTATTTTTTTTGGCGATTTTAAAAAACCACCAACATGGTGCAGCAGCGAAGGTCTTACATGGTGCCACCTACGGTGTTGCTGTGCCAATTTTCCCATCAAACCAGTGTCATTATGCTGTAATATACATTTATACATATGTAAGTGTGTATGTATCTATACATACATATGTATATACAAACGTATGTACATATATGTATATATTTGAGTTTCCTTTAGCTTGCAAGCAAGGCAACTTTAAAAAAATATGGCTTAACATAAGTGATGTTTTATATAAAAAATAAAAATTATATGTTTTTAAGTATACCCTACAAGAAACTGCTGATGGGTTCACCAATACACTCACATATATTATGTCAGTACTGAGGCACAGTTTACTTGTCAACTGACCGTCACTGTTATTGTTAAACAGAGACATCTTCGAATCAAATTGCTTACCTGTGTAAGAATGAAATTGCTGAATCCTTTACTCAACAACTGCGCAATTTTTAGTGCCCTTCTTGCCACAAACGAAAAGTATTGCACGCTTCTTTTGGGATTGGTGTTAAAAATATAATTTTTTATGAAAGAGAGGAGTTTTGAAATATGATATACAATACATACATACGTAAGTTAAATAAGTTTCAAATAGAACTATATATTTAGTTAATTGCCGTTTGCATTTTTAAATTCAGAATTATCCACTGATTGAGGAAAGACGTACGCAGAGCTATTAAAAGGAGGAGATGGCTTCAAGTGGCATTTTTTGTCATATTTTACTATTTAATTATATTTGTTTTTGCAATCATTTTTATATTTATGTATATTATTATAAATAATTTTGATTGAAAGTTTAAAATTTATTAAAGAAATAAAAATTATATTATCTACTGCGCAAAAGAATGTTTCACTTGTGATAGATTTACATTCATGACTGACGAATTGCAGCTATGATAGCGTTTCAGTCATAACTGACAATTTTCAGCTATGATGGATTTATGGTCTGCAATGACTCAGAAAAAGACATGAGAGTGAGCAACATAGATATATAGTGAATGAATTCGGAATACCCATGCGTTAAAGAGAGTTTGCATCTCTCACACACATTCGTTTGTTTACATCAGTTTTTGCACAAGGCACTTGAGAAAATGATAGAAACTTTGTTCTGCGCGCTGACAAAATTTTTTCAGCTCAGATGACTGTCACTGTTCTTGTAGGGTATATATACATACATATGTATGCATGTGTGTGTGTGTGTGAATTTGACAAATGCTACAACAATTCATCGTTAGCTTTGCGCAAAGTAATTGTTATTACCTTTACAAATTACCTAACTAACCGCTGCAATTAACAATGGGAATTTTGTTTTTTTGTTATTTTTTTCATTTTTTTGCTAGCCGTCCGAGCCATCCCATCTCAGTGCAAATTGTTTACAGTTAACAACGTTATTTAATTTTGGTCAATACCTCGTTGGCGTCAAAGCGTTCCACTACTTTCACTCTCATTCACCCCAACAAAATGACATTTTTATGCCATCACAAAAAAGAAAAAAATTTACCAACAATTTTCGGTTTGCGTTTAACTAAAACGGCCATATCACCAGAATAACAACCTGCAACTATTAACGAGTTTGTTCAAGTGATAAATGTTCAAATCACGTAATAATTATACCGTTATAGAGTAGCTCGAGTTTAAAATAAAATTTCGGTGTATTTGTAATGGCATAGCTTGCTTGGAATGAATTACTCAAAATGTACTGAATTTAAAGAAAGAGTTTTGCGATCTTGATGCTCAATGAATTTCGATTTCGCACATGATTTACTGTTAACATGAGTATGTGAATATGTGTATTGCAAAATTACGCGGATTTCGAAAGAGGAAGCAGTGGAATTCTCATGATGATTGTGTTGTATTCCAAACCTTTTGAACAATAATTTTTTAAAAAAGTTTTTCGTACAAGGGCATTATTTTAATTGTACAATTTGTACAGCTATGTAGGTATATGCTATAGTGATCTAATATCAGCGGATTTTAAAAACTCATTTGTATATTTCTGTTCTATAGGGTCTCCGAGGTATCCTTTTGACTGTCATAAACTTCGTTGCAAACTAAATATACCCTGCTGACGGTATAAAAACAACCGATTATTGCTCTAACGGTGCAATAAACTATACTTTATCTCACTGCGATTGATTTTCCTTGATATATAGTTCAATATAACTTTAATAAATATTGATTATAACTGCAATTTTATGTATAGTAACTTGGTTAAAAGAAAGTCCCGAAATAAAAGAACATTAATTCTATTTTCTATAGCTTGTTTAAATATTTATGAATATTTCATGTATTTAAATTAAACGAAATGCATACTTCTTAGATTTTTCGCAACAAAATTATAAATTATTCAAATATTTTAACTAAATAAACATATACCACATATGTATGTACATATGTAGACTATGCAAGGAATTAAAATAATCAACACTATCCAGAGTGCATACTTGAATTCACCGATTGTATTTCAAAATTAAATCTGGCAAATCAGTCAAATAATCACAGGTCTAAAAATTACGGCTTCATGGTTGTCGTTGCTGTAACGGATTTCGTGGTCAACGTGCTTGATTAAATGGATTTTCTGGCGATTTGTTCCATTCCTTCATAAGTATTTGCTTCCATTGTGTTAAACGCATTGATGGATTTTCCGCTTTGATACGTGGCATGTTTGCCGTCTCGAAGGCTTTGTAGGCAGCACGCATTCGCTTTTCCGGATGTTTGTCTTCCTCGTTGTCTTTCACACTACAAAAAATGTTTATAGAGAATAGAAATATAATTAATATGAAATAATTTTTTTTTACCTCAGGGCTGCCAAAGCTTGATCGACATTTGTTGCAATTTCAACGTCCGCCATGGAACGGTTCAGATTTTCTTCGATTACTGGTTCGGGCAAAACAACACGTGCTCCCAACTGTGGTTTAGCTGCGTTAATGGCATCAATTGCACGTTGCTTCTTTTCCAACTCTTCCAGAATCTGCTGTCGATGGATCTTTGCGAGTGGTTGTTTTCCTTGCGTCTTAATGGATGACATTTCTTGATCGAGTAGCGCCTATTGCATAAAAATGTAAATATTTGGTACTTTGTAACGTATTTTAGTAAAAACCTTCGCCTCCGTCTTTCGTCTTATTGCCTCAGCCCGTTTCTTTTCTTCTTCCTCACGCCTTTGTTGCTTCTTGGCTAAACTTTTATCATTGTCAGCCCATAGTCGATCCTCAGCCTCCTTAGCAGCACGTTCATTATTGGCTTGTTTCACAGCTTGCTTACGTTCACGCGCCTCCGCCGCCTTTGAATTGGTTACCATTTTCTTAGGCATTTTTGTATATAATTAAATATTGCCTTTACAGCTCTTTTAATTGTTGCACACAGTAATTTCGCAAAAATTTAGATAGATTTTGACATTTCCAAAAGTCCATGACTAGGGTTGTTAAGGCTGAAGAATTTTATTTTTTTACAAACATATTCCAACACTGTTCACTATAAACAGCTGTTTATGCGAATGTCAGTGAAATGAAGCAACGGCCTAAATTTTTATACAAACAAAAAAGAATAGTACAGAGAAAATTAAATTTTTTACGAAATGGACATATTAAAAGCTGAAATTGCTAGAAAGCGAAAATTACTTGAGGAAAAGCAACTTGTGGATGATAAAAAAAAATACTTCAAACGTGGTGAACTCATTGCCAAGAACACAGAAGAAATCCTACAAAAAGTTGGCTATAAAAAGCAAGAAAGTCGCGAGGAAGACCAAGTACCAGAAGGACACTATAGCTATGTCTCTGACGGACAAAATATTTTACCGCGCTCTGAAGTCATACGTCGTTTACGCGAACGTGGCGAACCTATTCTTATATTTGGAGAAACGGAATCAGATGCGTTTCATCGCTTGCGTCAATGCGAGATCTCCCAGCCTGAAACCAATCGTGGATTTCGCAATGATTTCCAAGAAGCATTAGAACAGGTAGATCAAGCATACTTGCAAGAAATGTTTGCCAACACACCGACCGCGAAAGAAGAACAAAAATCCGACCTTGCCGAATTGGATGAAACTGTCACCTGGGATAGCATAAAAGTAAGTGCCATTAAGATGGGTCGTGGTAACAAAGAATACGACATGGATGTCATAATAACTTTGCTCACGTTTTTATTAAAAATGTGGAATGATCAAATCGCTTCGTACTCAAAGCAAGAAATAATGTCTACTAAAACAAAAATGGCTCGTGTAATTTTCACACAGACGCGCGAATATGTGAAACCTTTATTTCGTAAGCTGAAACATCATACCCTACCCGAAGATATATTAGATAGTTTACGTGACATTTGTAAGCGTCTATTGAATCGCGATTACATCACTGCAAGTGATGCTTACCTAGAGATGGCCATAGGCAATGCACCCTGGCCTATTGGTGTCACTATGGTAGGTATTCACGCACGTACGGGACGAGAGAAAATTTTCTCCAAGAACGTAGCACATGTAATGAATGATGAAACACAACGAAAATATATACAGGGCTTAAAACGATTGATGACCAAATGCCAAGAGTACTTTCCAACTGATCCCTCAAAATGTGTAGAGTATGTCAGCAAAAAAGATCGCATATAAACAAGTTTGCAAATACTTTGACACTCACATTTTTATTTAATTTGCTAAAAAGTAAGATTAGTTGTAATTATGCAATATACACTCAAAAAAGGCTTGCAAATATTCAATATTATTTTTAACTACAAACTGTCACAAATTCCTTATTCTATTGGAAGTGTATTGTTGTGGCTATATTCTTATTTTTTGCCAAGTTCAGTAGCACGTTCACTGGATTTTTCTACAGCGTTGATGAGCGTTGATCTGGAAAGGTGAAATGATTTTATATATTCTATATATTATTCACTCTAGAATATACTCATTTTTTTCATACCTCAAGTTGCCCTTCTCCAGTTCATGTACACCTACAATTGTTGCACCACCTGGTGAACAAACCTAGTTGAAAAAAAACACATTTTTATTCGTGATTAAAATATAAAAAAGTACGAAGTATAAAAGTAAAGTTAGCAACCTCATCTCTCAAAACAGCTGGATGTTTGCCGGTTAACAAAACCATCTTAGCCGCTCCCAATAGCATTTGTGCGGAGAACTGCAATGCCATTTGTCTTGGCACTCCTTGTTTAACACCACCATCAGCTAAAGCCTCTATTATTGTATATACAAATGCGGGGCCGCAACCAGCTACTCCCGACACTGCGTCTATCATCGATTCGGGCACTTGCTGAGCAATGCCCAAAGAGTTCAGCATTAAATGCAGTTTCTCCAAATCTTGTTGCTTCACATAGGAACCAGGTGAATACACGGTAATACCTTCACCAATTTGCATTGGCGTATTGGGCATAGTGCGTATCATTTTTAAACCGTCCACAAATGAGAATTTCTAAAATCGATTTTATTATAATAGTCAACATGTTTTACCTCTAATCAAATATAACAAAATACCTCTTCAAGTGTCTTCAGCTTAACTCCAGCTAATACCGAGACAAACAACTTATCCTTATCTTTCAAAGTAGGCGAGTGTAAGCTATGCAGCTGTGCAGCCATCGGGGTGAGAATATGTGGCTTCACACATATGAAAATAATGTCGGCTTTGTCCAGCACTTCATAGTTATCGTCTGTAGTTGCAATGCCAAGCGCACGCCAGCGTGCAAGATTCTCCAAATTAGGTCCCGACACTAGCACCTGTGAGGTTTTTACAAATTCCCGATTTATTAAACCGGAACCAATGGCAAATGCCATATTACCACCGCCGATGAAACCGATTTTCTCATCCAACTTCGCCATTTTTGTATCAATTGGTTTTAGAGCTTATAGGAGAATAAGTAAAGTGGATTAAAACATGTAATATCAACGAAATTATAATAGACACTATTGATTAAATCCTAATAGCATTGGAATAACTAAAATGGTTTGACAGCTTTTGCTCGTTTTACAGCTGTTTATCGCAATTCTACTTTGTTAAGAAAGTTTGTTGTCATTTGCAATTAGCTTCTTAGCACATATGTTTTAACTTAGCACCTAAATTTCATAGCTTTTATCACCTTTTATCAGTGGACGTTCTCTGCTTCTATCACAATTTATCTTGCGTATACAAACCGTCCTACGTAGCCGGCTACAATGATTTTGATTATTTTACGTAATAAACAATTAATATTGCCAGATGCTTAATTCTAAGTTTAATACATTTTTTAAACATATAATCTTTTCTTTATATATTATTTAATAAAAAGTAGTACTTCAATCTACATTACTGATTATATAAAGAGCTACATTACATTTTTTGTGTAAAATTATATATTTTCATTTATAATTTAAATACAAAAATATACTAACTTATACAAATAATTGTTTAAATTTTGTTTTAAGATTTTTATAAGTGCGTAACTGCATATTTGTGCAATGTTATCATAAATTACTTCAGCTATATCATTCATTACGTTACCGTTCAGCGCCATCTATTTTCCGATAGCGTCACTATAAGCTTGGATATATAATATTATGTCAAATATTATCAACAACATTTCAAATGTGGTAGTTCCTGCGAATTTGTTTGCGCCATTTCAGTTTTTGCCACAATTATCACAGTAATTTTTAAAATTAATAAATCTTAGGAGAAAAACAAATAACAAAATTTTATTGGGGAAAGCTAAATACACAAACAGTCTTGGGGCATAATTGGTTATTTTTCAAAACGGCATGGCTGCAACTATTTTTATTAAATATGTGCAAAATATTAGTGTTTTAAATAACATTCGTTATTGTGCATTAGGTATAGCAATAACCTGGGGGTGTGCGTTTAATAAATACAATCAAAACAAAAGTGTGAGTGATACTATTACCTTCCCGAAATGCCGATACAAGTATGTATTAACCAATTTTTTACATCTTCATGAACATACTTACATACAAATGTATAATTAGACAAATGTGAAAGCGTCAGGCAATGGAATGGTTAGAGCAGTACATATCTGAAACAATAACAAAAATAATGGCAATACGCATATACTATTATATTTATTTGACAAAAAAATTAGCTGGTTTATCGTACTACTGCCTTGAGATGTTCTAAATATTTCTAAATTTTTAAATACGATAATTTATTATGTTACTAAACTCTGATGCCGACAAGTGAACCATTTTTAATTCTATGTATATCTATATACATATGTACATATATGCATTTATACATGCTTAGTATATGCACGTACAGGTGTGCGATTGTCTTTTTATTGTGTCAAATAGTATGTTGCTCGAACAATTTCAAAGCTGATTGACTCTGCTGATTGTCTTGCATTCATTCATAACAATTGCAAATGTTCCGTTAACTATCTCTTTAAATTGTACGAAAAGTAATCACAGCGCGATGTCTTCTTTCGATTTGCCACAAGCAATAAAAGCGCAAGTGAAAATTTGTTTTAAATGATTTAGAAAATAGTGAGAGTTGACAACTTCAAAGAGTAATAGAAAATCGTTTTTATTACAAAATTAGAAAGTATAGTTCTATTTTTAACATTAACTCTGAGTATTTACTAGCAAAACTCTGAAAAATTGTTTATTGCACGGTACATGAAGGCATTTATTCAATTTCAGAAAAATGTGGAAACGGAATGTGTTAGACGAGCATGCAGTAGAGCAGTTATTTATGACCATTCGGTCATTGGTACAGCTCTTTTCTAAAATCGTTGTGAAGTCAGACAGATCTACTCAATCTGTTACGAGATAGTAAAGGCGGATACTTTTCCGCTCTATCTTAATTAACACAAATTATAATAATTAAGGAAGCGCTAAGTTCGGATGAAGCCGAATAATTTGCACTCTCGCAATTTTTAAGAATCAACGTCGGGGAATTATTTTCAGATATTGACAAAAGTTTATATTAAAGAAGTATGGAAAGGTTGAGTTGAGGTGTAACCTAAAAGACAGATTATAGACTCTTGCAATTTGAAAGGACCAAATAAAAATATTGAAAAGAAGTTCAATGCCATGTTAAAATATCTCACATAGTAACCGATATATAGATATAGAGGTATGTACTCGTATGTATACGGTAAAAGTCAACCGGAAGTTCCAAAACTTGATATACATATGTGGTATAAGGGAAGTATTGACACGATTTTATACTTTTTTGACATCAGCACGCATTATTAAAGCGTTATCTAAATTTCGATATCCCGCAGATTGATCTCATATATATCGGTATAAAGTAAGCCGGAAGTTCGCATTTTAGATATGGGGAGCCGATTTTATACATTTTAGCACAAGTGTCCTTATAACCAGAAACTTCTCTCTAATTTCATTAATATGTATATCTCTTAGATTGACCAATATCTTAGGTATTGAACATTAAGGTTCAATATGCGATATCAACGACCATTTCTAAATAAGAATTGCCACACCTGAAAACACTATTTTTGTTTAGTGTTATTTCATTATTTTCATTAATACCCAGAAACCAATTTGTCTTGCCCTCCTTATCTATCTCGATTGGTTTTAAGTATTCCACATAATCATTAGGCGAAACATTTTTTTTTTTTGCACAGAGTACAAAATGGTGCGAGAGTTTAAAAATATATTAAACTCAAAGAAATAACTTTCTGAATATGGTATGAGAAAATTAAGGTTCATTTTGCATACAAAAACTTGATTTTGATCGGTCAGCTCCTATGGCAGTTATATGCTTTATGCTTTTACATTAATCTATGTATGCCAAGTTTTGTGAATCGTAAAACTTGTTAAACAAAAAAGTTTTCCATACAAGGACTTGATTTTGATCTATTATGTATGGCAGCTATATGATACAGTAGTCCGAAATCGGTGGTTCCGACAAATTAACAGATTCTTAGGGAGAGAAGGATGTGTTCAAAGACTGTCTCCGACATTTTCTGCTGGGGTGTTGCAAACTTCGTGGCGAACTTAAGATATCGTGTTCAGGGTATACAAATCCGCATCTCTTAAATATTTAAACTTTTTAGTATAAGTCAAGCTTAAGAAACTACCCCACTTACATTCACAATTAATATATTATATTTAATTGTAAATATATATTTTTTTTTATTTTTATTCTACACACACACTTTCTACACCTAACAGTTACATGAAGAATAATATATGTGTATTAATGTACATATGTACATAGGTATGTAATATATGATGATTACATGAGCAGCTAATTGTACATATGTACATCAGCATTATTATAGAGTAGATCGTCTAAAGCTTGGTAGTTACATATTATTTGTACTGTAATTATGCTTGCTGCAGCGCCGACCGCCCCACGCGAAAGCGTTTTTAACAACCAAATCATTGCATTAACCATGTGTGCATATGTAGTTAGTCATATTTTGAGGTGAAACGACTGCCCGCATTGGCGATGTGCGGTTTCTCGCAAAGTAACAGTAATTAGCGCTTGCAAGCATTCAAAAACTAACGAAATAAGTCAGCGCATGCAAGCAAAGCGCAGCCAGGCGAACGATAAATAGCAAATGAGGGAGCGCTTTAAGCATTACTCTGGCGCATGCGTGCCGTTGCCATTGATTTGCAGCCATGTTAGACATGCAGTCAGCTGGGTGGGCAGGTAAGTAGCGTAGCATGTATGTGTGCGCATACATAAGTTCATAAGTGCCTGTACGCATTTTGAATGCAATATAATTTATTACTTAGCTATATATATCTACATATATGGAGTGTAAGGCAACACGCAAGCGTTTAGCAGTCACAATTTGCAATGCAACGCAATACAGGGCAACGCAATGGAACGTTATGCAGGTCTGCTGCATTTTTCAGCGTCTTCTTTTGCTTTCATAATCCATGCTACAATGTGCGTTCAATCACGCCAACAACAATAACACAAGTGTTTGTGGTAAATATTCGCAGCGTGGCACACATATGTACATATGCCAGTATCATCAAGTGCTGTTGCATTAAATTGATTTTTTCGGCTCGCTGCGCATCTATCAGCATTTACTTTACACACGCGCTGCGCCAGCGCATATCGCTTTAATGCAGCGTTACCGAGGGCTGACAAGCGCCAGCATCCATTCAATTTCACTTGATCGTGGTGGCTCCCAAGCGCCGTTACCTCGTTAACAGCCCCCCGTCGGTTACAAATCAGTGCATCTCTGCTCATTTCTGCTTGATTTTACACAATTTTCTGGCCTTAAAATGAAAATGGAAAGTAATTGCATGTCATTCATTATTGCGTGCCACTGGTACATATGTATATACATTCATACTAGTATATTCATATATAATACAAATATGGCATGTGAGTACGAGTAACAGGTGTGTTTTCATGTTTTTGGTTGCGGCTTTTGTTATGACGATGCGCGGGTGGCGATCTAATCGCTTTTCTACAATAGCGGGTTGCCAAATTTTGGAAAATTTAATATAATATCTTGTCTTAAAAACTTAATTTGAAAAATTTCATGGTAGCGTAAAACCCATTGGAAAAGTAAGCAAAAATAACTAAAATGAAAGAGTAACTCCACCTTTGGATTTATACTTTTTCACATAACCTAAAGGTTTATGGGCAAAAATTCAAATAACCAAGTTTTATATTTTTATCTTTTACAACAATTTTTTTTTGTTTTACGAAATTTGGTGTGAACACCACCAACATACTGTCATTTTTTTAATTTAACATATTAATTTTTCTACCAGAAATCGAAATAAACCGCTTTTAATCTTAGAAAATTTAACCATCCCTCTCCCTTTTTCTTCCAGACCACAAATCGGCCGTAAGTTATTATAGCTGAACACGATATACGTTATGCTTTAAAAAAAAATGCACCTGCGAAGGGTTGCAGCCGAAGTTAACGTTTTTGTTATTTTTTTTTTTTCTGGGCCAATAGTTTCCATCCAACTATAATTTTTCCCCCGTTTTGCCATTTTCAAAGGTCTATTAAATTCATTTTATTATCAAGCAAGGATGCTCACTAGATTTTATTAAAATACTTTATAAATTTACCGATATTTTAGATATAAAGTCTTCCTTAGCTATAGATCTTTTGCTAAGTTTTACTTCGATTGGTTCTAGGTTTATCTATTATAAAGTCAAAGAATCTGACGAATGCGTCCGATTTCGTCCATGCCAGACTGTAACATGAACATGTATTGCAAAAGTTATGGTTCAAACTCCGCCTAAAAGTGGGCTCTGGCACGCCCATTAAGCATTATTTTTAATTGGTCCACATGTAACTCTTCTGTTTCATCGTAAATCGTTCGGTTTCACACATTTCACAGCGTATGATTTAAAGCTAGTGCTAATGTTTCCACTAGATCCAATATAGGTTCACTTTTCCAAAAATGTTAAGCCACAAATGCGATACTCAATTTTAAATTCGAGTTTTGTAGCATGATTTTTAACTTAATTATGGTATACTTGTATTCCTATATATTTTTAGAAGGTACATAATTCCTATTTTGCTTATCTACAATACTAATCCCTTCAGAATACAAATGAGTACACCGAGTCTTATCAAGATGTCTGAAGTTTTACTCGAGTTATTGCTTGCGCGAACAGATGAACCGACAGTCAGATATCCGAAAATTAATTCGTATACATATATAATTCTATATCTTCCTCAAATACTTTAAGATGACCTTAGTGGTCATTGTTTCGGTATGTCAGAGCTTGTTGTAATCTATGAGCATACATGATGATTAACCATTTCTAGGGACTGAATTCATGAAATAGTTAGGGAAGGCATTTGTCATCTAACGGTTTAAAAATAGATCTTCATTGAAAATTTTTTATTTAACTCAATGGCGGTACTAAAATATTATTGCCTCGTTTTAGAGATCACGATATTAAAATTATGTAA